AGCTCCCTGTGGCCAGGGTTCGCCATTCCCAGCCAATGGGAGCTGCGGGAAGTGGTTGGTTGGGAACGGCGAACCGCGGCCACAGGGAGCTGAGGGGCTCCATGCCTGCAGATGCTCCAGATGAACAAAACTAAATGTATTAGATATTCAATTCAATGATTCCACAGAGTTTAAAATCATCAAATTTTGGTGTAGACCCATTTATAAGCCGACTCCCGCTCTTTGATGCTTCACTTTTTTACCAAAAATATTCAGCTTATGAACAGGTATATCACTTGTTCATACTCATGACATTTTTGCTTAATAGAGCTTACATTCTTCAACACAAGTCAGTCACACGGGATGAAACAAAAAAGTTACTTAAACAAGTATAAGGTCAGTGCACTAGTAATAAGGACTGCATTTTTTTTAAATGTTTCAAGAACCCTTAATATATCTGGATAAGATAGGTATTCTCCTCGATGTGCCATTTCAAATAATTTCTCCTCCTTGTCCTAACATCTACTTCCCCCTTTCCAACTCCCACCCCAAAAACATAGGACAGGGAAGATTTCTTAAACAAGAACTGCAGGAATTTCTGCTACTTTATGAATTCCAAAAGCAATTTTAAACTGTAGGAGAAAAACTTCTATTCCTAGAAGAAAGATTTTAAAAGACTCTAAAGCAAGCAGCAAACTCTCAGATAGGAGCAAACAGCCATTTCAACTGAGGTAAATTCTGTCTTCTCCAACTCACCCTCTCTCCCCAACTTCTTCCATCCTCAAGTGTTTCTGATAATACACTGAAGTAACTCATTAAAAATACTATAGTATCAGGTTTGCACAGGTATATTTTTGACCATATGAAGATAATTTAAGGCCTTTTCCTATGCTGAATGCTATTAAAAACAAAATGTCTACAATGCCTGGCAATTAAACTCAAATTACATTGCAAATTCCATGTAATATGGGTTACTGAATAAAACAGGGACTCTCTGCGAATACAATGATATTCTTGATTTAAAGAATTATTTCAAGACAAAGTGACATGCTGAAAATGCAGAATATTGCTCTTCAGCAGATAGCACTAAAAAGATGGGTGAGGGAAGGGCTCCTAAAACTGGATACAATTAATCTTTCCCATAGAAACAAAACTGATATAAAATCCAAGTTCCTGATTCTACAAGCACTTATACATGTGAGCGGGACTACTCTTGCAGTCTTCATGGAGAATTATTCACATGCATAACTGTTTGCAGGATCAGAGCCCAAGACAGTATTTTAGCAAAATAAAGATGCCCTCTTCTTCTACCTCCTGTTTTCTGTCTCTATGTGTAACCTTATTTTAGTTTTCAGCTAATAGCACCTAGGTGGAGATTTAATTCATTCATATTTAAAACAATATTGGATTGAATCAAGTTGACAGAACCCAAACCATTTAAAAATTAATCCTGCAAGCTTCCCTGAGATCACTCTCAGTTGTAAGAGCTACACTCCGCAGGAAGTGTTTACAAGATCAGACCCTGAATCTAAAGCTCTTTCATTTTAAACCCATGTAACAATGTTAACATTTGAGTTCTATGTATTTTCTTATTAACTATTTCAGGAGAAGTTTAAAAAAAAAAAAAAAGTAGTTCCTGCCTCATCTCATCTATGGAGAGTAAGCTATTCTGAAGGGCCCCCCTGGGAAATAAAGATTGGTGGTTCATTGCTGAAGGACAGTCAATAGGTTTTTGCTTGACTGTTTAGACTGCGCTTGCTGTTTGTTTTTATTACACTCCCATTCCTTGAATTCCTCCTTCCTAGCAAGGCATTAATTGCTTTATTCAGAGAGGGAGAACCTGTGCCTTTGAAGGAAAGGTTTGAAAAAAAAAGAACAGAAAAAGATCAGAAGATGATTCTGTCCTGATTTTGTATGAAGGGGAGCAACCAAGCTGCACCTGCATTTGTTACCCACTAAGACTCATTGTGTATACAATAAACCCTATTTAAGAAATTAAGTTAAGATTCCTTCTCTCTTTTCAGAACCTCCTCAATTCCGAAGGAGCTAAGACATATTAAATTCTTCTTTCTACCCATCCACAGTTCCCTTCACAGGGAGCATCTACAAAAGCTCAGCACAACAGCAAAGCTGTCAGACCTTTGCTAACCTGTGTGCATGGTGCTGGGATGTTTTTCACAAGGGAACCCTCCCCTCCCCGGAATTACATGGCAATAATTAAGAAGGGAGAGGGAGGAAAACAGAAAGTTACCGTAGGGAAAGAAGAGTACACGAGGGTATTAGTTTTAACGGGGACTGAGTGGCGGCCCCCCAACATTGTGCTGGGTGTTTTTCCTGCTCGCAGGCATGGCCATGTTGCATGCAGCACTGGCTGCCTGCTGGGCAGGGACATGAATGGAAGCGAGAGTTGTTAAACACCTAGCGGTGGGGGGATTTCTCCAGGCTGCAGCTTTCATGACAGCCTGTCTTTGCTGCACTGCAGAGGCGCCATCTTCTCGCTCTTAATCTCCGCTCGCCCCAACCCTGCCGGCACCGGGCCCTATACCCGCCCGGCCGAGAGAAACCCCCCACAGCCCGGCTCCACACGCGCGGGTCCAGCGCCTTCCCCTTGCAAAGCCGGGAGAAGGCGTCTCCTCCCCGCCCACCCCCCAGCGGATGTCCCTTGCTCCCAGCCCACCTGAGCAGAGCCCGGGGGCATGAAACCTCCCTGTTCCTCGCCAGGAGCAGGCGGAGGTAAGGCAGCCTCTCCGCGGGGACCCGGCCCGCAGAGGCCGGGGAAGGCGCAGCTCCGCCCGGCGGAGGCGCCGAAGCTTTGTTTCCCGGGGGCTGGGCAGGAGGGGATTGTCCGGGCGCCGCCGCAGCGCGCGGGCTCCAGTAGCAGGCGCCTCCCCGGGGACCCTGCCCTGCGAGGGACACTCGCCCCCCACTACTCATCGCCTGCATCATGGAGGGGTGGGGGGAGCTCTCTCCTGTCCCCCCCAGGAGCAGCGCCACCGAAGTTAGCTGGGAACAAAGCGCCGGGCGTTGCTCCAAGCTCCCCAGCGGTCCGTGCGCCGCGGGGCATCTCCGCCCCAGAGGATGCACGATTGTTCCCGCTGTCCCCGCCGAGGAGGAGTATCCCGGCCCCCCGGGCAAGGGGCGGGCATTGCCGCACCACCCCCGGGCGATGTCTCCCGCACCCCCGGGGCGGAGAGCTTGCACACAATGAAACCCAGCAGCAAGCCGGAGGCGCGCAGGGGCTGCGGTCGGTGCACGGCACTTCGCAGCCTGCTGCCCCCACCCCCTTTTGTTCCCTGCACTGCTCAGCTGGAGAAGCCCATTGTTCAGCGGTGGGAGGGGAGCCTGGCCACGGAGCGGGGGGCTGGATGGGGGAGCCCAGCCCCTCCTTTCGGGAGACAGGCAAGGCTCCCTTCGCCCACCTTTGCGGCGCCTGGATGTGGCCGAGCCCTCCGGCTACAGGGGCGGCTCTGGGCTCTCCGCAGACAAAGGCTCCGGGAAGCCGAGCAGGAGGGAGGAGAGTGGCAGCCCCCCGCCCGCCTGCCCCTTACCTCGACAGCCCGGGCCGTGCAGGAGCAGACCAGCAGGAGGAGCGCTAAATGGGGCAGCATCGCCTCGGGGGGGACCAGCGAGGTGACGGGGGTCTGGCTGTAAATCCGCGCGCTCGCTGCCAGCCGCCGCCGCTGCCGGGGAATCGGAGTGAGCTGCGGCAGCACCAGCCGAGCTCCGGCGCGAGCGCGAGTCAGCTGATATCCCAGCCCACCCAGAGCCGCGGCAGAGGCAGCGCACACACCCCGGGGAGACCCCTAGCGGAGGCCCGGGGAAAGCGCAGCCAGCCGGCCCGGGCCCTAGCAAACTCCCTGCCCGCCCAGGCTCGCAGCCACAGAGCACAGTGCACGCCCGACTGTGTTCCCCCAGATGGGAGGGAGCGGGGCCTCTGTGCGTGAGAGCGGTGTCAGATCCACTCCTCTTCTGTATTTCCTGCAGGATCCAGGCGGGAGTTATTTTTAAGGACGGCAAACTGCCTTTCTGTTGCAATGTGGGAGACACCTAGCTCTGCCTCCCTCGCATCACCCGTCTGGTGAGATTGCTGCCAGACCCGCTGCTTGTGCCACAGCCAGAGGTGCACAACACATCATTGTAACGAAATTAAATCCAAATAAAAGACACACTTTGCTAGCTGCTCATGTCGGAGGGGCAGTTCTTTATGTCCTAGAGCCCATCTCCTAGGATGTAGAGTTCAGACATTAAACTGATGCTGGATTTGTATTAATGCTTTGTAACTAGAACATGTTTTTACTTGCTCTGGGACCACTGATATCTTCTTTGCTCCGAAAGCTAGTGTAATTCTCTGCCTGCAGCAGTTTTTGCTGATATCTTTTACAGAATGTCCATATGCCTATGGGTACTTTGTTGACTGATCAGTCATCCCTGTTTTAAATATATATAAAATGTGCAGAGATAACCCCCAAAATGTTTGTGAAGTCTCCACGAACACACATTCACAAGTTAACTGCAGGTTATTTGGAGAAATTTTGCTCTTCATTCATTTTTTTTACAAACTGGCTCGTTGTCATATTAAACTAGTCTCTTCAAATATTGATAAGTTATACCATGATCTAACAACCTTATCAGGGTGCTAGATCCTGTAGGTAAGCACAGGTTCAATTCCCTAGACCCCAGTCCTACAAACACACAAGAACAAGGCCAAAATTCTACAACTGATACCTTGTAGGTGGACAGCTGTACCCATAAGGGGGCATCATTGCTTACTACTAATTGCAGCATCTGTGCTTGAATTTATAGGATGACTCACATGAGTAAAGCTAGGCACAGGTGTAAGTGCTTGCAGGATTGGGGCCCAAGACCCATATATGATGAAAAAGTATTTTCTTGCTGCCTCAACAGAATTAATATTGTATAATACAATGTGTATAATAAATCTGCAAGGAAGCCTAAATGGATAATCTTTATCATAGTTTCACACTGAAATGTGTGAAAGTTAGAAAAATTGCATATTTTGTTGTGAAGTTATCTTCATCCACATACAGTTTCAAAAAAACCAAGTGATCCATTCAAAATTAATCCTATTTTTAATAAACCCCTATCCCCAAAGCCCACAAAAAACAATTTTATAGTGTTTTTCAAATTTAGAAGCAAATGTTTTGTACAACCATTATCTTTATCAAATTTCATGTTCATTTCAAGAGTTTTCTTATTGTTGTAAACCATCAATACTGGGGATCTCCCTCTATGACATAATGCAGGTATATGGGCCTAAAAATTGTCAATGGTTTCAGCTTGTTTAAATTGCAATTTAAAATCTCTGGGTGACATGCTTCCCCAAATCCATACACAGACCTTCTGCCTGCATATCTCCTCTTTCTCACAGACGGGAGCTGCCTCTGCAACAGTGTCCACCCACTCCTCTGGATCTCCCCTCCTCCTCTCCTCTGCCCAGAGTCCAGTCCATAGGTCCAGAATTCACATAGGGTGGAGAAGTGGCCAGGCCAAATGAAGGGAGCCACATCATTTGTCCCTACCTCCTGTATATGGAAAAGATGTTAATAGAGCCTGTGGCTGTAGTGTCCTTTCTGCTGTTTCTATACTGAAGTTGGTATCTATCCCCTTTTGAGGTAAAGTTGAAGCTCTGCTGCCAGAGCCTCATCTTTATCAAAGATCAAGGCCAGAGCCACAGAGCTGGCACACAGGCACAGGGCCTCTCAGTGGATGGTCTTGGATTCATGTGAATCCATACGATTTGTGGGTGGGCCTTTCGAAGAGCAAAGCCCGCCCACTGATTGAACAATCAGAGACTTTGCAAGAGGACCCTCATGGCATTTTCTGCCTTCCTGGGCCATACTACAAGATAAGGGAATTTAGCCAGGAATGAGCTTTAGTACCTATGCTCCAAACTATGGAACATGGTCCCTGTATTTTACTCTGTGAGATATACACTCTAATCTCATCTTGATAAACAAGTGTTAGATTAGCTACATTAGGTTCAGCTATTATATGCTTATCAATTAATTATTTTACACAAGCCAAACAACACATACACACCCTCCCATCCCACCCCTCCAGATATATGCCACATGAGTTTAACTGAAGCATTCTATAAGATGGATAGATACAATAATAAAATATATCAACTCCACAGGTTTATTTCAGATTCAAGCACATACATTTAGAAGGCAGTTTAGCCTCATACAAATATGAATCTTCTCACGCAAACTAATGAGCAGGCAGTACATGGAGGGACTCACTGGGCTTTTGGGAATTGCTCTGATAACACTTGCTGATTTCAGTGATCTCTGGCAGGTAGATAGCAGATAAGATCCTACACAGATTTGCAGTGTCCAACAGCTATATCTAACATACACAAACACATGCATATAGTAAGTCATTGTATGCAGAGTGGTTGTAGCCATGTCAGTCCCAGGATATTAAAGAGACAAGGTGGGTGAGGTAATATCTTTTATTGGACCAGCTTCTGTTGGTGAGAGAGACAAGCGTTTGAGCTTACACAGGATTCCATCCTGAGAAGGATAATGATATGGGGCCTAACACCTGAGGAAGGGCACTCAGAGAGAAATCAAAGGTGCAGCTAGTCCTGTAAGCATGACACATGTATTGTATTCACATTTACAGCCAGTCCACACCTGTCCAACCCAGCAATGTTAGTTTATAATATAGTATAAGGAAATATAAAGTTAGCAATACTGAAAGGCAATAACAACTGCGGGCCCTTTTAGTACTAGTTTAGAGTGCTACAGAATTTGCAGATGACCTGCAAAGGGAAAGAAAATGTGCTCATCACTTTTCTTCCTTCTCCTTCATGGTATATAAAGAAGGCCTGAAAGATTTTTTCCCCCTCCATTAGTTTTTTAGAATAGATATTCAGGTTCGGTCTAGTCTAGAAAACTCTAAGATAACTGGGGAACTAGTGAAATTATCACATCAAGAGACTGAAAGTTGAGCAACTGAGCAAGGGCGAATGTGCACAGGTGATACTACAAAGTGGGAAGGGCTGTAGTAGGCTCTGATTAAATGTTAATTCTTTGGAGATGACTACTGAACATGCTCAGAAGTGATTTTTTTAAATTGCTTAGCTTTCTTAGCCAACTTTATTTTCATAGCAGGTTGTGGATATACTATTTATATGCCACGCTTCATAGTTTGACTGTTTTGAAGTGGTGTGCCTTGTCTCTCTGAGTCACATTGATTTACAGTAAAAATATATAACAATAATATATTAAGATATAAATATTGTTGCATATAGACAACCCTCCCCAACAAAACAAATAATAAACACATTCTTTTCATTGAACTTTCTAAGAGAACAAAAGGCTCTTATCCAAAAAGCTCAGAGCCTTGCCATTACTTAAAATCATATACAATATTGTACAGCAGGGATCTGTAACCTTTCTGAAGTGGTGTGCCGAATCTTCATTTATTCACTCTAATTTAAGGTTTTGCATGCCAGTAATACAGTTTAATATTTGTAGAAGATCTCTTTCTATAAGTCTATAATATATAACTAAACGACTGTTGTATGTAAAGTAAATAAGGTTTCTAAAATGTTTAAGAAGTTTCATTTAAAATTAAATTAAAATGCAGAGCCCCCCCGGACTGGAGGCCAGGACCCGGGCAGTGTGAGTGCCACTGAAAATCAGCTTGCGTGCCGCTTTCGGCACGAGTGCCATAGGTTGCCTACCCCTGTTGTACAGTATATTAAAACATCCCAATTGGCTTCACACCCTAACAAAATCCATATATAGCCAATAGTAAACAAGTAAACCAATACTTCATTCTACCCCTTCTACACCTTCACAACCACAAAATGCCAGGGGCAAAAAACAAAATAAAAACAGATGGGCTTTGCTTTGTGCCCATAAGTCGAACAGATATGGGCTATTTCAGCCCTGGGAGAAAGGAGTGATTGTTAAATATCTACTCCCTCTCCACAGAAAAAAGAAAATACAAAATAACAGCTGAAGGGAGACAGGGTGGTTGTTAGAAAATATACTATAGTGGCTCAACACTTAAAATATTCTATTATTTTAATATCAGACAGTAGACTGTCAGTGAGGCCTATTTTTCCCTTGATGCTTGCCAAAATCTCACATCAGAGAATTATAAAAGCAGGAGTCATACATGAATTCTGAAGGCAGAATGACCTCTTGTGCATGGATTCGATTAAAATACTTCCAGATGTCTTCACTGTGCCCCTTTAATTGTGCAGTGTGCATAACATTTCCTTATATCTGCTGACTGATATCCAGTCAGGTGCAAATCATGGTGACTTATTCTCTCCCCTGTTATAAAATTATCCCTCATGCTGCTATTAGCCCCATTCCCAACTATATTTTATTCACATTATAGATGCTTCTTCAGTCAACTTTAAGTATAGGGCAGATGTAGCTAATACCTTCATTGAGATGACTTCAGTTGTTCTCAGGATGAGTAGAGGGCTCTAAGTCAGGAGACCTGGGTTCTGGTCCAGACTCTGCCACTGACTCATTGTCTTATCTTACAGTCACTTAACTTCGGTGTCCCTTTCTCCACTGGGAATTATAATGCCCACCCTCTTTTGCAATTCACTTAGAGAAAATAAATGCACTAAGTTAGTATTTTCAAATTAATTTAAGGGAGATAAATTCCCAAATCCCATTGAATTTAAATAGGATTTGAGTGCCTAACTCCCTTAGGCTCATTGACAGTCCCAGCCTATATTATTATTTCTCCACAGCTCCAAAAATGTAGGGGAAAATTTCTAAGTACATTTCAGACCTGTCCAACAGAATTTCTTAACAGCACAGAATTCATTGTCATTGAAATCCCATACAATTTATGCTGGCTCTTTAACTGTTACAATTATAAATTAATCTACTTGCCCTTGTGTAACTATCTTTCAGAAACAGTTTCTTGGAGGTCAGAAAGTACAGGGGTAGTGGCAGGGTGGCTAATGGGAACAAGAATATGGAGGTAGAAATTATCATACCCAAAGTGGAAGTCAAACTCAAACAGCTTAATGGGCCTAAATCGGGAAGCTGGATAATCTCCATCCAAGAATATTAAAGGAACTGGCAAGTGAAATTGCAAGTCCAATAGCAAGGATTTTTAATGACTCTGTAAATGTGGGGGTTGTACCCTACCTATGACTGGAGAATTGCTAACATAGTTCCTATTTTTAAAAAAGGGCAGGGGGGAAGTGATCCAGGAAACTACAGGCCTGTTAGTTTGACCTCAATTGTATTGGAACAAATTTTGAAAGAGAAAGTAGTTAAGGAGATAGAGGTGAACGGTATTCGGGATAAAAAACAACATGGTTTTACAAAAGGTAGATCATGCCAGACCAACCTGATCTCCTTCTTTGAGAAAATAACTGATTTTTTTATACAAAGGAAATTCACTAGATTTAAACTACCTGGATTTCAATAAGGCATTTGATACAGTTCCACACAGGAAATTATTAGTTAAATTGGAGAAGATGGGGATTAATATGAGAACTGAAAGATGGATAAGGAACTGGTTAAAGGGGAGACTACAACAGGTCATACGGAAAGGTGAACTGACAGGCTGGAGGGAGATTACTAGTGAAGTTCTTCAGGTATCAGTCTTGGCACCACTTTTATTTAATATTTTTATTACTGACCTTTGCACAAAGAGTGGGGGTGTGCTAATAAAATTTGTGGATGACACAAAGTTGGGAGGTATAGCCAATACAGAGGAGGACCGGACAGTAGCATAGCTAGGGGGGAGCAGGGGGAGCGGCCACTCCCACACTGAGCACAAGTGGCGCCTTTTTAATATTTTGGCACCTTTTTAATTTTTACTCTGAACGGGGGAGCGGACATAAAAAAAGGCGCCACCCGTTGCGGCACTTGTACTCACCGGGCGGCGCTCCGGGTCTTCGGCAGCACTTCAGCGGCGGGTCCTTCACTCACTCCAGGTCTT